TGTGCGCCGCAAACGACAGGAAGGCCTCAACAAATTAACACGTTTTTGTTTTCACACAACAATAAACATAAACTATAAAGATCCTGGAGAAAGTGACGGGGACGGCCATGCTGCTGATTTCAATTGTTAATTTGACAGCACTGTGTGTTGGGGTTTGCTCTCAGCTACCAGTACACCCAGCTGCAGCTGAACAGCTCGAAAAATGGCCGAGTCATATTTTCCTTGTTAGCTAAGGCGGCCATCTTGGATATTTGATTTGCATCAGGACTGTAACAACTCACTCTCAGCTACAACCGTACTAACTTTCAGCTCAGGAGCTCAAAGGATGACTGAGGTACAGTCAGTTTTCTGAGACAAATGGCGTCTTTGCAAATATTGTTGCTATGGTAACTCCAAATGTCAATAAAAGTAAGAGCGCACATCACGGCACACACCGGACTCCATGACTGTGCGGGTGAGTAGGCGGGACTTATAGGCCCAGTTCACCAGTACGCAGCAGCTGGTACTAGAAATACAACACGGTAGCTCCTGTGAAGTTTCCTGCTGGCTTCAGTTCTCAAGAGCAGGCGGGACACGTGGTTTGGTCGTAGGTCCAAACTCACAGTGTCCCTATCAAACTTCAAGTGCTGGTAAAGCTTCACACTGCAGGAGAAAGTGGCCCGACATGCTTATGTGGCATCTTACGTGCAACACATCACGTCTGCTTCTGCAGGTCAGTTTGTGGACCACACACTGGAGTCTCATGGAGCTCACACATTACAAAGTGAACATGTGAACACACAAACATAAAACATCCATCCATCATCTTCCTCTTGTTCTGGACTCAGGACTCGGGGGCAGCATCTTGATCAGGGAGGTCCACACATCTCTCTCCACAGCACCTCTTCTGGGAGGACTCCAAGGTGTTCCCAAACCAACAGAGACAGTCTCTCCAACGTGTCCTGGGTCTTCCACTGGGTCTCCTCCCAGTCAGACATGCCTGAAGCACCTCCTGAGGGAGGCACCATGAGAGCATCCTTACCAGATGAACCACCTCAACTGGCTCCTCTGGATGTGGAGGAGCAGCGGTTCTACTCTGATTCTCTCCTGATAACTGAACTTCTCACCCTGTCTCTGAGGGAGAGTCCAGCTCTGCAGAGGAAACTCATTTAACCTCCTGGATCCACGATCTCATTCTTTCAGTCTCTACAGAGTTCATGACCAGAGGTGAGGGGAGGAACGTAGACCGACCTGTAAACAGAGAGCTCAGCTCCTTCTTCACAACGGACCAGAACAGTTTGCAAAACTGCAGATGCTGCACCTATCCGTCTGTTAATCTCACGCTCCATTCTTCCCTCACTCGTGAACAAAACCCCGAGATACTTGAACTCCTCCACTTGAGGCAGAACCTCACCCTCGACCTGAAGAGAACAATCCACCCTTTTCTGACTGAGGACCATGGTCTCAGATCTGGAGGTGCTGGTTCTCATCCCAGCTGTGAACCGCTCCAGTGAGAGCTGAAGATCACGGCACGATGATGTCATCACATCATCTGCAAAGAGCAGAGATGGATCCTGAGGCCACCGAACTGGACTCAGAATTCATCTCTGCACAGGATAACACAATATTAAACATTTTATTTAAAATTCACTTTAAACTATATATTTTTAATTTTAATTATTTTTTATTGACTAACCTCTTACATGATTACAAATTTTGTTTTTGAAACAAACTCAAACGCCTTGTGTGATGGACAAAACAGACCTTTATTGGTACAAACAGCTTTTGCTCGTTCCATCCAATAAAAACAGATTTGTTTGTTTTATTTTGTTGTTTGTTTTGATGTTTGTGTTTTTATTTGTACAAACAAACCAACAAAAATCTAAGAAAGAATGAGAAACATTTGAACGAGCAAGAAAACGTGTTTTCATCTAAAAAGATGAGCTGATTAAAGTAAAAACATAATTTACTGCAAAACAAAACAAATTATATAAAAAATATTCTAAAATAATATCAAGTAAGAAATGTTTGATGTAGAAACTTAAGAGTAGATATGATTGATGTCTGACATCAGTGGACCTCATTAATTTAAAATAAATTCTTTATTTTACTTTTGATCATGTTCGTCCCGTTCAGGAATGATTAATAAACGTGGAGTAAAACGTGATGACTGCAGTAAAACAAGTCTCAATCTGTTTCTCGAACAGGATTACTGGATTACTGAAACGAACATCTTTTAGTCGTCGGTATAAAATAAAACCTGACACTCGGAGACTCGGCCCTTTTTGCTTATTGAACACTGAGATGAAGGAAACGAGTCGAGCGTTTCTTTAGTGCAAAACTATTTCCACAGACTCGGGTCAGAATGTTGCCGAATGAGTCGGTGTCACGTCGTCAAAAGAACGAGTCGGCGTCACATCGTGGACGTCACGACGTGAAACAATCTGGCGTCACGTCGTGGAACGAGTCAGCGTCATGTCGTGGAACGAGTCAGCGTCATGTCGTGGAACGAGTCGGCGTCACATCGTGGACGTCACGTCGTGGACGTCACGTCGTGGACGTCACGTCGTGGAACGAGTCGGCGTCACGTCGTGGAACGAGTCGGCGTCACGTCATGGAACGATCCGGCGTCACGTCGTTGAACGATTAGACGTCACGTCATGGAACGAGTCGGCGTCAAGTCATTGAACGATTCGGCGTCACGTCGTTGAACGATCCGGCGTCTCGTCGTGGAACAAGTCGGCGTCACGTCGTGGACGTCATGTCGTGGAACGATCCGGCGTCACGTCGTGGAACAAGTCGGCGTCACGTCGTGGAACGATCCGGCGTCTCGTCGTGGAACAAGTCGGCGTCACGTCGTGGA